CAGCTTCATCGTAATTTTTTTGTCTCTTATGAGTAAAGGATCAGTTGTTTTTCCCAACTTTCTACTTTTTCTATTAAAGCAAATCTAGCTTTGTCAACCTTCCAACTTAACTTTTCGTTGTCTCTTCAATGACATGGCTCCAAAGTCGCTGGAATTTGTTCAGAAAAGAACATTTTTGTTTGCAGAAACCAGATTAAAATCATCTATACTTGTTTGAGAGACCCATAATTTCAGGGTTTTTATTTATATTTTTTGATGTACTGAAAGATGGGTTTACGAACTCAACCACTTCAGCCCTCGTCACTCACAGTATGTGTCTCTCTCGAGTCAAAGGATTTTCAGCATCAAGCTAATTTCCTTCAGGAGGACCTAATATTGTTTTATTTGTATATATCAACGTATATATATAAACATTTATTTTTAGATCTTTGAGGTCTTTTCTTCTTATTGTTTGTTTTGTTATCGTATTTTCATAAAAAAATTTAATATTTCTGTTCAATCTTTTTTTCTCATTCCAACTGCCTTTTTGTAATTCGATTTTTTAAAATAAATGTTTTCGTTTGAAAAGTCGGCGTTGCCGTCTTTTGGAAACGGTTTTCCGGAGCGTAATTGTTTAGCTTTAATCCGTTTGAAGTTTTGACTTATCACTTAAAGAGATGCCTAACTGGGTTTCCCGCTTGCTCTTGCGTATTGCTGGTTCTTTATAGAAAGCGGGTGAGTGAGTTACGAAATTTCCTGGTTGTTACCTTTATGGTGAAGTTGTTTTGCAGAATTTGCTGGCCTTGTACTGTCTGGATTGCTAGTGGCAGTTACGGTTCTGCTAAATTGATGTTTGATGGCGAAGGTTATCAGAAGTTAGTTTCACTGTTTTGTAAGTTTTGACAGAGAGAGTTTGAAGTGTTTTTCAATCTTTTGCTTAGCATATTTGCTTGGTAAAGTTTTCCAAAAAACAAAAATTTTTTTTTTTGAATAAGTATTGTAGTGTTAAGTGGGGAAGAGTAACGCTTCAACAAAGCCTATTCTTAAACATATGCATACTAGTGATTTATGGGTTGAAATTATAATTTATTTTTTTGTAGGGTGGTTTTGACCTGTTTCTAAGATGTCCACTAGAGGTATAATTACTGAACTTTAGGATGTTATGGAGTTTCATATTTGATTTTTTATGTAGCTGATGAAGCAGTGGAAAGTCAGGTTGTAAAATCATTTTTCAGTTGTTTTCGGCGTGAACTAGGCTTTATAATTGCCATTCTCCTCAGCCTGCCTTGAAGATATCGTATTTGCATTTTTTTTTTTTTTTTT